TTCTCTCAAAATAAGATGATGGGAAGATATTTTCTCATTTGGCTGAACAACTCCACTCCCCAACATAGGGTCTGTCCAGACACACTGGACCTCAAGTCCCATCATCCCCTGACAGCGTGACTACAATCCCTTGGAATCCTCTGTGTGAACTGATTGATCCTTGCTCTTTCCTGGTGGTGGAAAGCAAGCTACATCATATTCTAACATAAAGTGGTGTCTGCATCTCTTGAGGACAAGCCATCCATCAACCAACCACAGCATCACCCTTTTTCTTGAGCCAACAATCTACACAACTTGAACAGATGCCGAGATTCTTTCTCCTGCACTGCTCCAAACAACATGGCCCATCCACCAATTCTTTTGCTTCAGCCCACTCGTACAGAAATATCGGGAGTCGATCTTTGGAATTCCTAGAAAGCTAACTAGCAGATTGAATGACAGAGGCTTATAAGATGCTCTTCAAGCATTTGCTGCCTTCAAGATAGTCCAGTCCATAAGTCAACCCCAAGCAGATGTTCTTAGAGGTCTCTTCTTTTTAGTATGTCTGTTCTTCCTGCGCACACGCCCAAATTATAATGTTTTTAAAATGCTTGATGGGAAAGCAAAACTTGAAACCTGTACATGGAGACAATGAATTGTGATGACTTTTCCACTTTGGTCACCAATAACATAAGAGTCATTAACACCGTATAAATACGTTTTAACTGAACCCAATGGAGGAAAGCATAATTAACCAAGTCTAGATTAGAAAATCGGATTTAAATTTTTAAAAAACACATCAGCATGTTCATCGCTTATTGAGCAGAAAACAAAACAGTTTGAATCAACTGACAACAAGATCTTGAATATGGATGAGTAGATGCCATTCTTAATTAATTTTATTGCAACAATATGCATTTGATATGCATAGGAAGGGAAACAAAATATTTTAGAACTCATCTGAGCAAATCAGTATTGTGGCCTAGCAAAATGCATGGACAATTAATCTAAGGGTTGAGTTGTCTCCTGAGAAAGTCTATTTGTGCCCATGTTCATTAATAAATATCTGCAAATGCCTTAAATTAACATAAGGATCCACATATTTTGTTGTGAGCTACTTTCTGTGTCATTTACATCATGCCTACTTTACTACTGAGGTTTTTTTGGGCCTCTTTTGCTAACAGCTGGTGGACAGGAGAATAACAGGGACACCCAAAGTATGGCTCAGACAAGTACAAGTAGGAAAACATACATATACAGCTCAAAATACATTTTTCTCTCTCTAAGAATTGCACTCTTCCAAGTGTTTTCCAACAAGTATGCAACAGTGACTGGTATCCTATTGGGTAGCTAAAGCTTGCCCCATGGGAATAACGTGATCAATGGCAGATTAATCAACAGCAAAGACTCTCTCTTTTGATTTCAAGGCATGAGTGATTTTGCCTTATTGTACGAGAGTCACACAGGCCCTAAAACTGAAAAAGGAAGTCTCTAATCAATGGCAATCTGCTACTGACTATGATGTCATTCCCATTGGTAGAGCAAGACAATGGGATGAAGAACAGTGAGTCATAAAAAGCTATAAGTGGAAGAACATCCAATCTGTAGGACCCAGGTTCTTCCATTTGTGATGGCAAGAATCCTCTCACCTTACTAAAAGTGGATAGCAACTTTGTCCTTTCATCTTAATAATGTCACTTTGCTGAGACATTGTGTACTGGAGTGGGGGAAATGCACACCTATATCAATGATGATGGCCTGCAATTTCCATCAACACAACAAATGGTGAACTGTGAAGTAAATTGTAATCCAGCAAGATCTGGAGAGCTCCTTGTCCTCCCCCACCCCCCAGAATGCTTTGCTCAGAAGAAAGCAGCAAACCTGTTGAACATGCTCACAAACTATTTTAATTAACTTAGATCTGAAATAATGACCTTGTGAGTCACCTATGGTGAATAAGAACTGCCTCTAGGTGACAAGGAAGAGAAGTTAAGAGGAGATGTCAGTTCCAATATTAGTTTGTTAAAATAAAGCAGGGCTACTCATTTTGGAGATGCCAGGACAGCTCACTGAGTTGAAATACCTGCGGAGCCAGGGGTGGGGAGTTTGATCCCGCACTGTGCTTCCCAGAACAAGAACCAATCAGTGCAGCCTTGGGCAAGCTACATTAGTCCCAGAGCATGCCCAGAAAAAAGGACTGAAAAACCACTTGAATGCTTTGTAACCCCCAAGAAGGGTCAACGTACTTCAGAATTGACTTGAAAGTACACAATTATTGCTAATTTTGGAGACCCATTGGCACAGCTGCTTTAACCTATTGTTCCTCATTACCCCACTATGAAAGAGAAGTGGGCTCGGCTCATACAGAAGCAGAGTGTGACAATCGGAGCATCCAGCAAAACAATCTAATCAGGAAGCTGCAATCAAAACAAGGTCTTCTCTAATGACTCTTCTCTAATGACTCAGGAGCACGCCAATACCATCAGCCCCTGAGCATCAGCTAAAACAAAAGGTGAAGCGGGTCACTAGACCAAACATTCCCACGTGAGAAAGACCTCATCAAACAGATGATGATCTAGTGGTTAACATTCCAGAGACATGGTCTCTAAGTCATAGACCCCACTATTGGCCATTGTTGACCTGCTACTTAGATCATTCTAATGATGTCCCCTGCCCTCACACCAAACAAACAAACAAAATATCTGTGAAGATTCTCCGCCATCCTGGTGAGGTTATCTGGAAGTTGAGCCATGGCAGACTGCAGAAGCTGCTTGGATGAGGAGCGAAACATTTTCAACCGAGTAAGAAAGAAGCCAAGTTTCCGTGACTCAACTTCCAGATGAAATAAGCAAAGCAAACCACTTTTCGTTTTGAGGTAAGGATGTAATCTTGGGCTAGAGCTAACCTTCCACACAATTTAACAAGAAGGCGAGGAAATGAATGAATGGATGGATGGATGGATGGATGGATGGATGAATGAATGAATGAATGAATGAATGAATGAATGAATGAATGAATGAATAGATAGATAGATAAATAAATAAATTCAATGCAGCTTTTCCCCATAAGATGTGATCTTACAGGTTTACTTTCCAATTTTAAAAAAAGAAAAAGAAAGAAACGAGGAAGAGTTGGAGAAAGGAATCAAGATGATGAAACACCAAATCCAGATGTACAGGAAAAACTGAACAGGCACACCTCCAAAAGTTAATTGAAGTACCTGCCTGAGCACGGAAGCCAACTCACAACCTCCTCTCATGCATGTTTACTCCTGCAAGCCTCACTTTGTTCAATAGGAAATTTCCCCACCCCCACCCCACAATGTCAGCATGCCTGGCGAGGGAGTTTATAACAACCCTAGTGCCACATACCTGCGGACAGCAACACGACAAGTTTGGTGCTCTGCCCAACCCACACTCAACACCTTTGTAGCCTTCGGCTACTTGACGTCGAGCTCAGAACTTCCTGAGCAACACGCCAACGATGGTTCAGGAAGGAAACTCCCAACAGTGGCAATACGCTCCCCCTCAACGACCAAGTTTTAAGGTCCGCAAACCTTCCCCTCGCATGGCGCCCGGCACCATCAGATGCTGTTGCCTGAGGTCTTCTTGCACCAAATGCATCTCAGCCCAGCGGACAACCACAGTTTTCTTTTTGAAGCCTAGGTAACCAGACCTCCCATACCTATAACATCTGGCCAGGATGAAATCTGGAGTTTTGTTCTCTTCCGCCTGCCTAAGCTTTGCAATGCCCAGCTTGAGGGAGACCTAATCATGGTATGGTCTGTCCCTGCTCTATGGTCTTACTCACAGGTCACATGGCTGAGTCTCTTTTTGCCTTCAAATTAAACTTATTAGACTTTCAGGAGCTTGTGACTTTGTGATCTTTTTGGCCCCAACAGACCGGAACCATTCTGGCACCAGGGAGCTGGGAGCTTGTGACTTTGTGATCTTTTTGGCCGCAACAGACCGGAACCATTCTGGCACCCGGGAGCTGGGGCTCTTAAGCTTTCCCCCCCCCCCCAAGATCACTAACAGCCAAATTTCCCAATCTGATCCAAACAAACTGGGCTCAAAACTTCCTGAGAAAGAGTTTCCCTCATTATCAGCAGGAGAACAATAGACAGAAGAACAATGGAGAGAACACCCTCCCCTTCCACTCTGTTTTGCCTTTCAATTGGGGAAGAAATCCTGTACTCAACCAGAAAATGACCCTCTCTCTCTCTCTCCAAAGCGCTTGAAAACATCTGAACAAGGAGAAGACCAGGCACAAGCGCTTAAAGTAGTCAAGAGTTCATGAAAACCTGATCAGCAAGGGATGTTCGGCAAAGCCTCAAAGAAGATTTCATCCCACTGCCGTGACATTCTGCAAGACCAGCGACGTCTTTATCTGGGACTCTCAGACTTCAGCTAGAACTTCAAGAAGTTGTAATCCAAGACCACTGGGGACCCTTGACTTGTCCGATGTCTCGGGCCAATGAAGAAGCTGGCTTCCGAAAACCAAAGGCAAAACACCAAGAACCATATCCAGTCATGTTGGCTTCCGAAAACCAAAGGCAAAACACCAGGAACCATATGCAGTCATGTTTTCTCTCTCTCACACACACACACACACACATCCAAAGACATTCTTCTCCTCCCTTGTGGTACTTGAGAAGGGCAACACACACAGCCCTACAAGGGAGAAGACCCCTGCATCTCTCCCACCCATTAAGGACCAAGATCTTGTCTCCAACACAGGGCAGAGTGGCACCAACGGCAACCTCCACCACGCAACTTCACCTTGCAAAAGTAGACCTTCCACCAAAGGGTCGGACGCCCAGATCCAACTTTAGACAAACTTCCAAAGGCACAGTGATGCCAAACAAAGCAGGGGGAGAAGGGGCAGAGTTGTCCGTCTCCCTTTCAAGAAAACTGCACCAAGAAGCCTAAGGTGGAGAGGCTCACGTTTAGGGTGGGCAGGAGGCAAGCTAAACACACAGACACACAAACACTATAAAAGTAAAGGAACCAAGAACCTACCCTAGATCCAGAGAACCTGCAAAGGGCCCGGTGTTGACAACCTGGCGGGAGTCCCAAGCTGCTGCTGGAGCTTCCACAGCCAGAGAAGTGTTTCTGGTTCGCCATCCAGTCCTCCAGCCCTTTCCGAGCCAAGGAAGCATTCACAGCAAAACTATCACCTGGGAAGAGAAGAAAGCAAAGATGAAATGGACGGCTGGGTCACAATGGATCCACGGAGCAACAACCACCCACCTTGCCTTTCTTTCTTGCCCCGAAATGCCTCCAAATCTCTCCCACCTCATCCCTCTTTCCCCAAAGCCTTCAGGAAAAGGGAAGATAAAGGATCGAAAGAAGGGCACAGGGACTGTGGGATGGGGCACTAGATGAGCATCCCCAAGCCAAGAGATCCACAGACCCAAGAAGCTTGCACCCCACCCCACCCCCCAATTCACATGCCCCAAAAAACTACCCTCCAAAGAAGCCACGCGCGGAAGGAGGTGAACCCACACACACACCAGAGGGGAGGAGAGGCAAACTTTCTCTGCAAAGGGGACAGGGGGAAAATGGAGGTAGGGGGATCAAGAGGGGTGAAAGCGCTGGGGATCGCGAAGAAAGAAACCCCCTTACCTTCCGGGCTCTCTCGAGGTTTACACACAGCAGCTAGGAGGTGACCCGCGGAGTTGAGAGGCGAAGGAGGCGAAGCGCGGAAAGGGGAATAAAAAAGACCAAGGTTAGCGGGAGGTCTTTTACGAAATGGAACACACCAAACCCGCCATCCGCGCACGTCCCTACACGAGAGCGGCGGCCGCCGCCGCCCCCTCTCTCTCCCCCTCCCTCCCTCCTTCCCCGTCGCTTCTGCCCCACGACTCCCAACTTACCATGTTTCGAGTGAAGTTTCCCCATCTCTCTGCGCACGGCTGCGCCCAGGCGCGGGCATTGGAGGGAGCGCCCGGCTCAGCGCGCTCGCATGGCTGGCGCTCCGGGCGTGTGTGGCTCGGGGCGTGCGTGCGTGCGTGTGTGTGTGTGGTGTGTGCGTGCCCGTAGACCTGCGAGAGGATCCGTCCGTCAGTCCAGCCAGCCAGCCACCAGCCCAGCCAGCCCGCCCGCCGGCCCCCCTCTCCAAATCTCCGCCGCGCTCTCGGTGCCAAAGGGGGTCCCCTCAGATCCTCCGCCTGCTTAGGGATCCCGGCGCTCCGGGCTGCCTTGGCCCCGATCCTCCAGGAGAGAGGACCTCAGAGAAGAAGGAGGGAGAGGAAAGATCCACATCAGAGAGAGAGAGAGAGAGGAGAGAGCCGCGCAAAGGCGCCCGGCCAGCGCGACAGCCCAGAGCGAGTTCCAGCGCTCTGGGGGCGGCAGCGTCTCCCTCTCCTTCCCTCTCCGGCTTCCCCCCCCCCTTCCTCCTTCCCAAAGCCAGAGGCAGTTACAAAAGACCTTACTTCACCCACCAGGGAACATGATTGACACCTCATTGAGATTAGACCACTTGCAGGCAGCCTCTGGATGCCGATTGGAGCGAGGCGGCACATGAAAGGGAGCGAAGGATCCTTTTGGAGTCTCCAAAAAAGAGAGAGGGAGGGAAGGAGGGAGGGAGGAGGGAAGGGGGACGAATGTTTTTTTTTTCTTTTTTAAAGGAGCATCAGCGGCGGCGGCTTTGGTGTGTTTCGTTTCGAGCCAGGCACAAGCAGCAGAACTCAGAGTTACAGAGAGAGGGAGAAAAAGAGAGAGAGACGGGGCTTCAGTTGTGGGTTGGCGTGTGTTTTTTTTTAAAATAGTTATTTTGTTGCGCGCGCTCTCCCTTTTTTCTTTTTTTCTTTCTTTTTCTTTTTTG